GCCTTTTGTGTTCAGCCTGTTAGAGATCTGCCAAGAAAACAGAGGCAATTCATGGAAATATAAATGCTGGCAGAGAAGGGTTTCTTTTTTCTCTTTCCTCTCCTTTATGTTAAGAAGCAAGGAAATTAAATGCAAATGTTGCCCGTCCCTCTGTGCAGACGCGGTGTATTCTATCCCTGGATGCTCACATTCGGTAGATGAGTTTTCTTCCATACGCACAGAGATTGACATTCTAAAGTGGGGACGGGGCGGGCTGGGAGACTTGAGGAGTGGAGCAAAGTGCCCAGCGTTGCCGGGAAGAGACCGTTCCCCTGGGAACAGAACAAAAAAGGGTTGCTGGGCAATAGAGAGGCAGGGCCAACAGCAGTTTCCCTTCTTCTCCATTGCTGCTGCCTGGGGAAGTCTTCTATCTTCCGCTGCATCCCTCCTGCTTCAGTGCTTGGGCTTTGAACTGGATGGGCTTTTAAACAAGATTTGTTTCTTATTTTTATATATATATAATTTTTTATTAAGATTTAAACAAAACATATTATCCAAAAACATATCATCCTTATTTTTTCCCCATTTCCCTCCCTCCCCCACCCTCCCTCACAACCCGCCCCCTGACTTCCCTCAGTTCCAGTCTTTGGTTTCCCTAATGGATGCTGTTCTCTGCATGTTACAAAGTTGTATATAGTCATACCTTCGGGTTGAATGTGCTTCAGGTTGAACGCTTTCGGGTTGTGCTCCACGGCAACCTGGAAGTAACAGAGCACGTTACTTCCGGGTTTCGCCGCTCACGCATGCGCAGACGGCTCAAAATGACATCATGCACATGCACAGAAGCAGCAAAACGCGACCCGCGCACGCGCAGATGCGCCGTCGCATCTTACATTCCATTCAGGATGCGAACAGGGCTCCGGAACGGATCCCATTCGCATCCCGAGGTACCACTGTAAATCCTTAAGTTATTTAACTGATTCTTGTCAATAAAAAGATTATGAATGTTTATTCCAGTACGTTTCGAGCACAATTCAAAGTGTGGTGCTGACCTTTAAAGCCCTAAATGGCCTCGGCCCAGTATACCTGAAGGAGCGTCTCCACCCCATCGTTCTGCCCGAATGCTGAGGTCCAGCGCCGAGGGCCTTCTGGCGGTTCCTCATTGCGAGAAGCAAAGCTACAGGGAACCAGGCAGAGGGCCTTTTCGGTAGTGGCGTCCGCCCTGTGGAACGCCCTCCCATCAGGATGTCCAAAATGATAAACAACTACCTGACATTCAGAAGACATCTTAAGGCAGCCCTGTTCAGGGAAGTTTTTAATGTATGATATTTTAGTGTTTTTTGGTTTCTATGGAAGCCGCCCAGAGTGGCTAGGGAAACCCAGCCAGATGGGCAGGGTACAAATAATAAATTATTATTATTATTATTATTCAAAGGCTTTAACGAGATTTGGAACAATCTGTGGATGATAAGGCTTTCAGCGGCTGCTAGCCATGATAGCTATCCTCTGCCTCCACAGCTGGCAGGCAGCAATGCTTCTGAATACCAAGCTGCTGGAAACCACAGGAGGGGAGGGGAATCTTGCCCGAGGGTCCTGGGTTTCCCACAGCATCTGATGGGCCACTGTGGGAACAGGGTGCTGGATTAGGCCCCTGATCCAGAAGGGCTCTTCTTAACTAGGCAGAAGATCTGGGATTGAATCATCTGATATTTTCCTGCATTGCAGGGAGTAAGATTTTGGTTGGGGAAACCACACAGGAAAACAGTAAACCCTCTTCTCCAGGGTCACTGTCCTGCAACAGAGTGCCCCACTCCCCAGCAAGCTTTGAATAAGATGCTGCGAGGTCAGTCAGGAATTTCCCACATCCCATCTCATTCAGCCCTGAGCTAATATTTTCCTTCATGCTTGCTACCAGTTGCACTCTGGGCAGGGAGTCAGACCCAATCTTGTTTCTCTTCTGAATCTCTAGTTCCCCACTGTCAGGTTTGCAGGTGGTTGCTCACGAGTAAACAGCCAGGACTCCGACCTGCTTTTTACAGGTTTTATTTAGTGCAAACTGTGTACAGTGCAGACACCCAAAGTTCATGTCTGTCTCAGTCACTTGCAGATTCCGGGAGTGGCCTCTTCCTGTCCACCCCCCCCAACATAAGAACTTAGAGACCCCAAATCTCCGCCTCCCCTCCTTACGTTTGATCCCCTTGCGAAAACTGAGCGGCGGAAGCGGCATGTCTGTTTCCCAACCAGCCTGGCTGAGCGAGGTGCTTGGTATCACAGTAACGTCTGTGAGCCTTTGGCTCGCTTCACCCTCCTTTCCCCCTCTGCTTCGCCGAAGGCTTGACTCTCTCCACTGCCTGAAAAAGTGCTACTGCTCAGCAACGTTGGAGGCTCCCTGTGCTCTTCTGCCCCCTCCCCCTTTCAATGGAAGTACCCTGACATCCACATTCACCTGCTTTTTTTAGCAGTGCCCTTAGAAAAAACACATGTGGCCCTCCAGTCCTCTCTATGTGGTCCTCGTGACTTTCACAAGGCCACACCTCTTCCCTAGCCCTGCTTTGCATCCACCTTGAGGGTCCTTGCCTGCCTGAATATTCTTCTCGCTTGCCTGCATGGAGGATATCCTACTGTGCAAAAGGTAAAATTCACACCTATTGCTTTGCCTACTTTTGCCTCTTGTCCCATTCACCACAGGTGTGTGACTGCCCAGAAGGGAATGTGGTCTTTGGGCCAAAAACCTTCCCTGCCCCAAAGCCTGAATCACACGGCCGAGATCTGAGACCCGGGAAATACTGAAGCAGAAATGACTGCAGGGAGAAATGGTTCACTGGTAGGTAGTGCTAAGTTGCTATTTCTGCAGCAGGTGGGGGTGGCAGGAGAGGCGAGAGCCTTGCATTTGCCCCCAGGGGATGCTAAAGCCTGAGACCTGAGCATTGGAGGACCGAAACTTTCTGCAGAATCCCACTGCCCTGGCTTTGCGGCTGTTTGAAACGGCTGTAGAGGTAATGTTGCTATTAAGAGCTGGCGCAAAGCGGTCCCAAATGTGTACTCTGCGCATTGCTTTTGCCTGAATGTGATTGTGTGCAAAACCACTTCCCATTGCGGCTGAAGCCAGAAAGGGAAGAATCAAAGTGAAATGGAAATGAAAGATTTATTACTTGTGAAGTGGCTAATGTGATTAGCTTTATTGTCAGGGAGAGCTCGTGAAGCTCCCGTTTTTGATCTCGGTCTAGCTTGGGAATTGTAACCATGTTCAGCAGTAGGACTCTCAGATCTTAATGCTTTGGGCAAAGGGGCTCACTCTTTGAAGTGCTTCTTCCTCTCCCCTCTCCCGTCCGTCCCCCCCCCCCGTGCCAGTCCATGAACAGAGAAACTAAAGATATTTTAACAGCCCAGCTGTTTTAGGCGGAGATCATCTCAGGTCACAGAGGCTCCAGCTGTTCCTGGCTACTGGACTCTCTTGCAACTCTCAAAAGGACTTTGAAGGACTTTGAGCATGTCAGCTGCCTTATGCTGGGAGATATTCTTTTACTCTCTCTTTTTTTCATATAAAAAAGTTTTACTTGCAAGATTTCGTACTCTCCCTTCCCTAGGAAGTCCTAGGGCACATTACTACAATATATTCATACAACTAGGTTGCCACCCGTCTGTCTCGGAGATAATGGA